GAACGTGGTAAGAGCCACAGCTGTAGCAGGGGGAGTGCCTCATAGGCACTCTGCCTGTCACTCAGGGATGTGGTGGTTCTGCCAGCAGGAAGAGAGCAGAGAAAATAAATAACTCAGCTTCTCTCTGCCCCTCCACTCTGATTTCCTGCTCGTGCCTCTCATTGGCTGAATCCAACCAGCAGCCAGTGTATGGGGAACTGGGGTGATGCCCTTGCACAGAGGTTGTGTCTCGGGGCACAGAGCAGGGTGAAGGGTGGAGAGTGGCTATGGAGGGGCAATGGAACGCAGCCAACACATGAGGTAAAATTTTGAAATCTAGCATATCTGAAACTGTCTTTATTCAACACTGCCTCTAGAGTAATCATTTGGCTGGTATAGAATTCTGGGCTGGCAGCTCTTTTTACTCAGAATTTTGGAAGCAATGTTCCATTGTCTCCTGGCTTCCAGAGTTGGGAACTCTGCCATTCTGATTCCTGATCCTTTTTATGTGACTTGTTTTTTCCTTTCTGGAAATTCAGGATCTTGTCTTTTCCTCCAGTGTTCCACTATTGGGTAAGGGATTAGTTTCTATCGTTATATGACAGGGTCTCCAGAGTAGGCCCAGGCCAGGTGTACTTGCTCAGTCCCTCCTAGGCCCTGAAAATGTAAGAACTATGGATGTAAGCATCCATCTCCTGCATTATTACATAGTTTCAATGCACATATGATGTCTGGTCATTATTATGCACCTATGGACGACATCGCAAAATCGCAATGGGCTGGGATTCAGACATTGCTGGTAGAGACAACTCTGCTTCCTCCCGGAATTTGTACCGGTTGATATTCGTGGAAGGTTTTGTTGTGACACTAGGGAAGAAGAGGGAAGAGGGAGACATTTGGTAGAGGTAGGGTCACCTGTTGTCTCAAGGCAAATGATGGGTTGTATGGCATGAAGTCTGTTCCCATCAGACCCCTTGGGTCCCTGGCAGTGGGCCTGAGCCCCTAGGTTAGAGGGAGAGGTTCAAAGCCAGCCAAACTGTCTTTAAGAAAGACCTTGTGAGACTGCACACAAGTAATTTGGGGACTAGACAATAAGGTGTGACACAGAGTTGGGGAGACGTCATTCTCTCTGTCTTTGCAAAGGATGACTACTGACCAAGGAATCCTGGTGCTTTGAGCATCAAAAAATAGTGCCATTGATATAGACACAGGCTTTCTCACAGTGGGCTCCATCAGCAATGGAAAATGTAGGTTCTTTGAAGAATATCAGGTTGTGAAAATGGACAAATGGGAGCCGGAGTAAGAGAGGAGGGGCATGTAACTCAACTGTGGGGCTCAAAGAATTGGCTTCTGAAGCAGATACAAGGCTGAACGCTTAGTCTACTGCGAGGCAGTGGAGGCTTCTAAACAGTCACAGATTCTCTGCACCGAGGAAGAAGCTTGAGAGTTGGCTGAACGCAGTTATTGAGTGGACTATGAGTTCATTTGAGAACCCTCGTTCATATATGTGTGACAAACAGTACAGAGCTAGCAGTCAAATGGGGAGCATAATTATCTGCTTTCTTAATGAAAGTCATTTTAAGAGTATTACCCTGAATAGGGAAAGTGGCTGACCAGTGGATTAGAAACTATTTTGTTTCAGTATATCACTCAAGAGATTTGATCTCTTAGCAAGAAGACACACTAATGAAATTTTTCAATAGCAATAGTCCAAAAATATTCGCCATACCACCCTTTTGGTAGTATTCCGGGCATTTTATCACCATGGTTACTCTAAAATAATAGTTTTTAAACCAGTTTCTATTTTGTCCTCTTATTTATGTGAGTTGGGGTTCCAAAATACTCTGGCAGGAAGATGAAGAAGAGGAATCATCCAAAAGTTGAGTGTGATAATGTGGTGTCAGGTCTCTTCCATTCATCTCAATTTTCTGAAATCCATAGATATGGTGCCACCAAACTGTGTCCACTAGCCACTGAGTCAGATGGGAAACTTTTCTTTCTGGTGGCAATTAATGCAAAACAGCTTTATGATAAGATAACGGAGTCACATTATGGAATAGAAGGGACATTTTTGTAAGAACTGTCAAGGCAAAACTCAAGACTTCCAAAAAATGTTTGTTGTTGGAAGAGAAGTTTGCTGTAGCCGACAAGAAGTCGCCAGCTATGAACCAGGAAGTGGGCTCTCACCGATACAGAATCTGTCGGCGCCTTGATCTTGGACTTCCCAGTCTCCAGACCATGAGAAATACATTTCTGTTGTTTATAAGTCACTCAGTCTGTGGTGTTCTGTTATGGTTTTCCAAACTGGACAAGAGAACCACTGTCTTGAACGTTGATGGTTGCCATGCCAGAGGGAAAGAGAATCAGAGGACGCTCAAAGCAGCAAATAAATGCTTCAGGCATAAAATGACACGTATCCTTTCTGCTCAAACTCATTGGCCACCTCCAACCAGAAGAGGGCCAGGAAATAAAGTCCTATCATGTCCCAGAAGGCAGAAAGCCAGAAATATTTAGTGAAGAGCATTAATGGTCTATCACTCACTATGTACCAAGAGCTGTGCTTAAATATATTTTAGGCATTATCTCAGCTAAGCTTCAAACAATCCTATGAAATAGGTACTATCAGTATCATTATCATTTCTATTTTGTAGATGAAATAACTAAGGCACAGAGAGGTCAAGTAACCTGATAAAAGTCACACAGATAGAAAGCGAAGCTGAGGATTTAAACCCAGTCATTCTGTTCCCAGAGTCTGTGTGCTTAACCACCAGGCTATGCAATCTCGTACAAGATGAGAAAATTTAAGAAGCACCGCCATAGATCATGGAGAGCTACTAAAGGACTTTTAGCAAGAGGGTGGGATTCAATGGAGGTTTGCCATTTATGAAGCTCTCCTTCACGAGTGCGGTGAAGGATTAATTTAACTAGGGTTAGACTAAGGCAGGAAGGCTATTTGCATAATGAAGAGATGAAGATGAAAAGGACCTGAACTAAGGCACAATTACCACAATTAGCTGGGTAATTTTGAGGCTCTGTTTCACCAACTTGAGCCTCTGTGCCATTATTTCTTGAAAAATGGTTGTGGTAATACCTATTTTTATGGGGCTTTCTGAGATTATAAAAGATAACATAAGCAAAAACTCTGACAATACTAAGGCTCTGGAATCATAAAGATCTAAGTTAAAAACCCCAGCTCTGGGGGCTGGCCCCGTGGCCAAGTGGTTAAGTTCGTGCACTCTGCTGCAGGCGGCCCAGTGTTTCGTTGGTTCGAATCCTGGGCGCGGACATGGCATTGCTCATCAAACCACGCTGAGGCAGCGCCCCACAAACCACAACTAGAAGGACCCACAACGAAGAATATACAACTATGTACCGGGGGGCTTTGGGGAGAAAAAGGATAAAATAAAATCTTAAAAAAAAAACAAAACCCAGCTCTGGGGCTGGCCCCATGGCCGAGTGGTTAAGTTTGTGTGCTCTGCTTCCGCGGCCCAGGGTTTCGCTGGTTCGGATCCTGGGCACGGACATGGCACCGCTCACAAGGCCAGGTTGAGGCAGCAGCCCACATGCCACAACTAGAAGGACTCATAACTAAAATATACAACTGTGTATTGGGGGGATTTGGGGAGAAAAAGCAGAAAAAAAAATCCCAGCTCTACTCCTCATTAGATGAGAGAGTTTATTGTTCTAAGTCTCAGTTTGCTCATTTATAAAATAGGTGTTAAAGCAAGAAAAGTTAAGTTAAAGTAAGAAAAATTATTATAAACTGGTTGCAGGTTGAGAAAATTATCTTAGCAGGAAGGCAGAATTCCTTCTACAGAAAGAACTGAGATTTTGTTTAGGAAAAATACCATGATGAACATGTATGTTTATGAAAATCAAGTCTCCTAGGCACTAGGCATGGCTAGAAGGGAAGAGGGCTAGACAGAGAATTCAATTGTTTTGATTAATAAAGTAACAGAAAATTTTAGTTTTTCTCTGATGAGTTTTAAGGGAAGCCTGGTCTTGGGAGAAGGTAAGAGATAAGGGAGAGGGTTTCACTAGAGATAAGACTACTCTGAGCATCTGGTCTTGCCAGCTTCCCTGGTCCAATCTTCCCAGGGCATCCAGAGGGATCTTTTAAAAGCACTAATTGGATCATGTTGTTCCTCTCCCCCAGTACAGTGCCCGATACTTAGAAGTTTCTCAGTAACAACTTGCTGAGTGAATGAATGAATGAATGAAAACATTTTGCAGACGCCAGGTGGCTCCCTAAAGAAAAGGACAGCCCTTGAGAAATTCTCTGTAGTAAAGGTGGCTTTGGACAATGATGTTTAATAATGGTTTTTAAGTGGTTGCCTATTCTGTTTCCCAGCAATCACCCCTGCTCTCTATTCACCTCTCCAAATAACCTTCAGTAAAGGTCTGCTGCACAAAAGTGCACTGTTTGGGGAGGATTTAGGGAATGAAAGAACAAAATGTCTACGCAGCAGGCAGAACAATGTCCAAAGATGTCAGTAATCATAAGAGGAAAGCTCATGAACAGGGGAACCCAGATTCAGCGGAAGCAGGCCTTCCAAGTGAGAGGTGATCAGAATCTTCTGAAAATTTGAGGTGGCTGTGATGTCTCTCTAATCCTGGGTTAGGGGTTGAGCCCTTCTATTTGGTTGTTGAGGGAAGGAATAAGCTGGAGGACTTTGGAGTATCCACAACCCTCAGGTTACATAAGGACGATATTTAACTCACAGAGACATTTTGAGGATTATCTTGGGCTAGGTCATGTAAAGCGCTCAGCACAGTGCCTCGCACATAGTAAGAGCTCAGCAAAGGTTGATTGTGGTTTGCCTTCACTTTCTTCCACTCCCTCCACTCTCTTTCTGCCAGGCTCCATTCATTCTTTTCCAAGGACAAGCAGGGGGCGTGTCCACCCTCCCTCCTCCCCCCCAAAGCTCCGCCCCCCACTTCTGCCCGGATTGGTTCCCGAGAGGCGGAGAGCCCGGGACGAAGCGGCGGGGGCGGGGCGCATGCGCGGGCTGGGCCGGGTGGCGGTGGGGAGGAAGAGCTGCCGGAAGTAGGCAGCCGAGGTGGTGGCCGAGCGGGCGGCAGCTGCCAGGGAAACCGAGGCGCGGGACGCACGACCCGCAGACAGGCAGACCCGGGGGTCGTCTCTGCGCCCGGCACGCAGGAGGCTCGAGAGCTCCTGGGGCTCTCAGGGTGGAGGGCCACCGGTCCCGCATCCTTCTCTGGACGCGGGCCTTCCCCTGAGCCCGCCAGGGGGCGCCGCACCGAGGGGCTGCGGAGTGGGGGGCGGGCGCGGCTGCCGGGAGAAGGGGCGCCGGGCGGGGGGAGAGGGCTCTCCCCCGCTCAGGAGGTGCCCCTGGGCGCGGGACCGGGAGTCCTCACCTCCGGACTGAGGCAGGGGCTTCTGGGGGCGAGGAGGGCGCGTCGCCCTCTGCCCCCGCCGGCACCCTGGCCATGACGGGCAAGTCGGTGAAGGACGTGGATCGGTACCAGGCGGTCCTGGCCAACCTGCTGCTGGAGGAGGATAACAAGTTTTGTGCGGACTGCCAGTCTAAAGGTAGCGCATCCCTCCCAGAGGGCGAGGGGTCCAGGCTCCGGGCTGTGCCTGGGAGGGGGCCGGGGTGGGGAGGGGGTTTCTGGAGCTTAGGCGGCCCAGAGCATCCTAAATGGTAACGCGTGCTGCTCTTGCTGATAAGCCTACTGGGTGTCCTGCAGCGCCGGGCTTGGTGTGGGGAGAGGTCGCGAGGGCAAGGGTGAGTGTCTTTCGGGGGGGGCGGGGGCGGGTGGAAGTGGCTGGTGTGTGCAGGTGAGAATGTGTGTATTTCAGGGCTCTGAATGAGTTCTGGGCCGACTGTCAGTCCAGAGGCAGCCCAGGGCTCTCAGCCTTCCACTTGCAAAGCTGGGGACGAACTGCAGTGTGTGTGTGTGTGTGTGTGTGTGTGTGTGTGCGCGCGCGCGCGCGCGCGCGTGAGAGAGAGGGAAAGGAGAGAGGGGGAGGAGGGAAGTGAGATGACGGGGAAGAAAACTGCTTAAATGACTTTAAAGGTGGTGATGGTGGCTGCCTGCTATTTGGTTAGCAGCTCCTTCTGTCATTTTACAGCCTCGCGGAGATCTGACAGAGCTTAGGTGGCTTTCTTCTTCCTGGATGTGTGCAGTGGGAAGCTGCCTTATGCAGTGACACGGTGCAGATTTCTAGACAGCCTAGCCCTGGCTTGTGGAGTGCGTTGGAGGCCTAGTGTGTGTGGTGGCAGAAACTAGCTGATTGTGGCTGGAGCGCAGGATCCGATTAATCAGTGGAGAGAAGGAAGCAAGGGTTGCATCAAATGTGTTGCTTCCATGGTGATTATCCTTCTAAAGATGAAATGTGATCGTTGTAAATTGGCAGAGCCATTTAGTCTTTGTTTTCTGTGCCCTCAAAGATTCATGATTTGATACAGTTAAAAATCAGTATGATAGGAAAGCATGGTTATTAGTGAAATGTTTGCCCTCCAAATTTATAAATAGAAGCTATTATAGATATTTTATTTCCTTGTTTTTTTTCTGAATTCTTTGGAATATGATTGGAGGAGTTGGAAAAAATTGTTTCCCTTTGGTTGGGGAGAAAGAGATACGTAGTTATATTTTGGGAGCTATTATTCATTTACTTTTGTTCCTAATGCAGTGGATTTGCCAGGGTTGTTCGCCATATAGCATCTTGGGTAGAGTACACGACAAAGATTCAAATGTATTTGTATTTATCAATATTGAGAAAGGAAGTACATGCTTAATTGATGCTTTCACTTAATTACCTTTTATTTTAGAAAAATAAGGTTATGTAAGGAGAGCAGGGGAGTGATACATTGGTTTGGAATTCTAGTAGTATATTTTAGTGCCCTCTACCAATAAATAAATGGTATGTGCCATTAGGAAAGCAGGTCCCCGGACTTCTTTCCTGAATTTTTACATTTAGCAACAACTCATTTTAAAAAGTACTTCAGAATCAATTTGTGTTGGGCGGGTTAATTTCTTATAGTTGACTCCTGTTAGACCTTGTGCTAGATCTGTTGGAAGATTCAGTTTGAAATTTAGGAATGCATCTCTTGGCTTTTCTCAAATTCCCTTGTGTCCTCAGTTGACAGATCTTGAGTCACAGTGAAGCAGCTCACTGGAGGGAGCATTGCTAGGTTTGAGGAGTCAGCTAACCTTTTGATGACTAGTACCTCCCCTCCACCTCCTCATTTCTCATACCGTCATATTCCAATAAAATATAGCATATGGAAGAGAGAGATTGATTCATCACTTCCTCCCTTCAAATTGTCTGTTGCTGTTTATCAATAGCATTACTGGGGATCAGGTAATGAAACATTAGTTAATTGTTAATGAGAACTAGTGACTGCTGGCTTGTAAGCTTTATTACTTGATCCAGTTTGTGAATTATCTAGCCTCTTCTGCTCTTTCAATCCCTCTCACTCATTTTCCCCCTCCTTTTCCCTAATTTTGGTTGTTATCGTGATCATGTGGACGACTGTTAGATCACGGAAGGAAGAGACACTAGCATCAAATTACCTGTTAGCTTTGGTTAAAAATACATGTAGTGGGAGGACGAGTTTAAAAACTGTTGGCTAAAATGAGATTTAGATTTGAGTTTATTTATCTGTAGGTCTCATGTCCTTTCTTACTTAGAAAATTGAGAGCTAATTGTCCAGGACCTGGTGAGTGATTGCTAATCCGTTAATATTAAATCAGATGATGTGGTCCTGGACTGCAGATCTGTGAGCAGGTGTTTTCAAATGTTCCAGAATAACTCTTTGGTAATTGTTCTTCTTTTTAAAATCTTATAGTTATTTAAAAATGATATTATCTTTAGATATGTAATTTGCATCAGATTAGAGAACAAACTTGTGTTCTCTTTACGTAGTACAAGTTTTGTTGGTCCTGGGGTTTTTAACTGTCCTGAGCACAAGACTCACCAGTTTCCGGGACCTCCCAGGCATTGGAGTGATCCTTGTGGGGGAAAGGAAGCAGCTATGGTACTGCCTTTTTAAAAAATGCTATGAATTGCTCTAGGCCCAAAGATGTGGTTTCCTCATTTACCTTTTTGGTAAATTTTTGGACAGAGTTACGTAGTGATGAAACATAGGACAAACATACTGAAAATTCCAGATATGTTAATAATGACTCCACCTCGCTGAGGCTAAGTCCCATTTTGGGGTAGATGCTTGGTGGGGTCGTACTGGTCCAAGGTTTAGCCTTTCGCTCTGCAGTTCCACATTTTATCAGTGTGCCTGGAATAACTCCTAATCAGCCTCTTAAGAGACTGGTTTAGAGTAGACACTATCTTATTTGCCATGAAAAGATCTACCTTTCTGATGACCTGAATACTTGTGTCCGCTATCGGGACACTCCTTTCTCAGTATCAAGGTTCGTAAAAAATTGAGAGCTGTTTAATGAGAAAAAGAATTAGAATGGAAGAAATTTGATGGTTTTGAGGAATGTTTACTTCTGATTGTGAAACACCACATGGAATTCTGGAGTCTCACAGAAACTTTGTAATAATTTTTTTACTTTTTGCTTCTTTTGCTACATCCTATCTCTGAAATGTTTCACCTCGAATCACCTAATCATTGCCGCTGTTGCAACTCCCATCATATGTTCTTAAATTTAAATTTACTTTTTGAAAAAAGTAGCGCTTTCATTTAGTTCAAAATCCAAATGGGTATATGTACGCTGAAAAATTGTCTTTGATCCCTTAGCCACCATTTTCCCTTCCTGGAAGTAACCACTGTTGGTCATTTCTTATGTGACTTTTAAGAGATAATATATGCGTAGACAAACAACTATGTTTAAATATATTCTTTTGCAGGGCTTCTATGCAAATAGTAGCATGTTACCCACAGTTCATGGCACCCCACATTTTTCAGTCAATGCTATAACATGGAAAGCATGAAGAGTCTCTCTCCATGCACGCTGAGGAGCTTCTTCATTCTTTCAAGGCATTTTCTAAGGCTGTACCTAGGTTATCTTGATTAAGTTCAAAGATATGGTGAAGTGATTTGGAAGATATCTGTTCTCACTGAAGGCATCTTAGAAAGTGTCTTAGGCCCATCCATAGTGCATATAAGCCCACCTTTCAGGTGACGGAGAAGCAGAGTAGTGGGAGGAGCTGTAGACTTGATGTTGGAACATCTAGTTAACTCCTTTACTCTGCTAGTTTTAGCTTTGTGACCTCCAGCATGCCACCTAACTTTCTCGGTTTAATTTTCTTCGTTTGAAAGATGAAAGCGCCTCGCCAACTAAAGGGTTCCACAAATGCAGCATTATGTATTCTTACCATTGCTGATCTTATTTATTTTTATCTTGATTTTATTCATTTTACTTGCTGACTGTATTCCCTTAAATACTCTGGTTACTGGAAGCCACAGTTAGAATGACTCACCCAATAATTCCCTAGTCTTTAAGCCAAAACCATTTCCTATATATGGGGGTTCTGGCATTTTTGCAGATGTGCTTTATGGTACCCTTGAGGGCGGTCCCTGGATATTTCCTGACTCTTCAAACTTGTCTGAAAGATTAAACCAGGGAATCTTTGTGTAGAAATTTTCTAATAGTAGTGCTAAATTTTAACTCCGGTGAATTAATCTCTAGTTTTCCTTTACTTTTGTTTTCTGTTGATAGCTAAATCGTTGCTTGTTATATCATCCCTTAGAACATGAACATTCTTATCAATTTTTAATTATTTTAGCTGTATCCATGGTACCTTTTGAGAGATTAAAAAAAAATTCCATCAGATCTAGACAACGGAAGAAGTTTTGGTTCCATTTCTAGTTCTTAAACACCCTTCTCCAGCCAAGATCAAATAACTTTCTGGGTTTCTACAGCTAATGCACCTTAACTCTGACAGTCGTGGTTAAGATGACACAGTTTTACTGAAAGTGATTTATTAAAGTCCCCATTACATTGTCTTTTAATATCAACTTGTTAAACCTGTTCCCTGGGAGATACTTTCCTGATCATTTGCCCTGTCCTTTAAATATCATTCCGTGGCAGTGGGATAGAGAGTACAAAATGTCCTGTCTTTTGGGGGAACTCTTTGCAAGCCTGCAATCCCACACTACTTATATTCATTTGGAAGATATTTCTTAAGCACCTACTGTGTGTCAGACACTGGACCAGATCTGTAGATTAAAAGATAGGGTCTTTGGTCTCAAGGATTTTATAGTCTAATGGGGCAGCAGATGTGTAAACAGATAAATGATGCAATGTAATAATTATCATTATGGCATTGTGTACAGGGAGAAATGAAAGCATTGAAGAAGGCAAACAAGTCTGCCTCAGGAAGTTGTGACTGCAAAGAGACAAGTAGGCTGTGTCAGGAATGATAAGCATGACCTTGCCAGGTGAATTCAGGGGACTTTGCCTTCTAGGCAGAGGAAGCAGAATGTGCAAAGGCTCCAAGATGTGCTGTATTGTGTGTATATGTGTGTGTGTGATTCTTTAGTATATTTTGACTATATGCTGGGAGCAGCGAGGGATAAGGTTTTTAATAGGTAGGCAGGGGCCAATAGGGTTAGAATTCTA